TTACAAAGTGGACGTTCTCTGTTAGGACGTGACACATGGAGAACACTGTCTTATGGTTTGAACCAAACAGAAAAATATTATGGTCAAGGAGCCACTGTATCTTAGCAGAATCATGTTAGGGAAGAAACTGTTTACTTAGATGTAGTTATTTGTTGTTGCTTAAGTTTTTGCTTTAAAGCAAATAAAGAAGTCACTTCCAGAAGAACAAAGTTGCCCAACCTTCCTGTCCAGCCCTCCCACTTAACAATTAAACACTTCCTGAGAAGGTGCTTCAGTGAAAGTTCTCAGGCTCTTTGGCTGTGGCCTTGCTTCAGGGACTCTTTTCTTTGACTATTTTAAAAATTCCCCTGGAAGGTCAGGGATAACGAGCAAACTACAAAATATTTGTCTCTAAAGCTTCTTTTCTTTTCTTTTTTTAAATTGTAATTGAGATAGAGGAAGTAGAAATGTCTTTATATATAATCTTCCCTTCCCGTTTATTCTGAACTCTGGATCTGGAAGTGAAAGTCAGCTAGAGGAGGTGTCAAAATAAATAAAGGGGATGAAACCAGCAGCTCAGCTCTTAAGAGGCAAAAGAGATTATTGAGAATTTCATGCCAGGGCATTAAGGGATTCCCAGAATTTAAGTTCAGGCTAGCAGTATTAGCCATCCCTAGCTCCAAGGCAGACAACAGTTACATTATTCCTGGAACACAGCAATCGATTCTTTATTTTAAACAGTGTCAGTGGACCAATGTTGATTTGCAAATCTGACTGAAACAATGCTCATTTTATGCAGAAAATAAAACAATTCTGAGAATTAGGGTTTGTCATACCTTTCTGATAAGATCTGACAGTTCCATTTCGGCTTTCTGCTGGGCCAAATCAGATTTAACTTCAGAGTAAGTATCATTGATGATGGCCAAAAACATATTCTATTTGTAAATCAAAAGAAGGTAGAGATTAAAGAAGAAACCTAAATATGTATTTTGCAAACACCAATCCAAAATTCAACATGTACCTTTTTCTTTTAAACAATTTGAATATTTTAAGAAGTCATCACTTAATAGTTTTGCTACTATACTCTTCGGGAAAGTTAGTTTTTCCACTGTCATGGCAAAGGAAAATGCAATGTATATTCTTCCTCACAAAACCATATATTGTGATATATTTTGCAAAAAAAGAAACAGATGAAATACAACAAAATATTAATGTATTTACTTATGAATGGTGAGATTATTATTTTCTTATCTATGTTCTCTACATTTTTTTCATTTGACATAAATTATTAGGGTCACAGAACTCTAAATAGCTCCTCAGATTTCAATAGTTAACACAGACAAGCGGAATTCTATGCCTATTCCAAATATTGTTACATAATAATAGTTGCGATTTACAGAATACATTCTAAGGGGTTAAAAAGACCTCTGCAAACAGAAACACAATAGGCAGTCAGGAAAAGCTTAGTGGAAAAGGCAAACTTTGGAGTCAAGCAAACTTGAGTTCTTGCCTTGGCAATGCCAAGACTAAATTGTGTAACTCTTCTCTTCATTTTAAAATTTGTTTGTTTTAGCATTTATAAAATGGGAAAAATAATAGTACCTCCCCAACAGATCCGTCGTAAGAATTAATGAGATAGTCTACGTTTAATGCTTAGGACAGGGCCTAATGCATGGCAGGTGCTACATAATTTATAGCTATTATTATTTGTTATTCAGTAATGGTTAGTTCATTTTCCTGACTTTTCCCTTCCCCACTATCATGGTTTGTACTTCCAAGACCACTTTCCAACAGCTTTTCTTGAAGCACCGCACCCAACTGATCAGGCCTTTCTTTACATGCTCTTCCTTTGTGTTTCCTTTTGAGCACGTGTTTTGTGACCATACAGCTGAGTATTTGGTTATGTCTGTTTTCCCTGTAAGTCCCCAGAAACTTCACGAGGGGAGGGCTGGCTTCTATTTTCCTTACGACTTGCATCCCAAGCACCCAGCACATTGCCTGGAATATAGTGGCTCGGTAAGATTTACTGAATGATTGATGAATGAGCAAATGAGAGCTCTATTATTATTATTATTAATTATTATGATTACTTTTAGATTGTAATCTACAACTTGATTAACTGAGCTTTATTTCCTCACATAAAGGTAAACCTGTTTCAATTGAAACACAGCTTCAGTTATTAATAAATATTTTAACTTTGTGATAATAATTAAACTTATTAAACAATTAACTTTAAGAAGGAAAGTATAAATTGAAGAGGTCAGTAAATTTCCTCAGTGGTTTTTCTTATTAGAGACCACTGAAGACTTTGGTGATGTTCTTTATTTAAAGCATATGAGAAATTAATGTTTTCACCAAAGTCCATCCTAATATAAAGATTATCCAGAGATTCCAGAGGGCAGGAGTTTATCCAGCTTCAAAGGGTGACATAAGATTACAGCCAAAAACATTTTTCTTCAGTTATCCAAGCCTAATCGCGTTCTCTTGTTTAGTTCAGTGCCCTCTGACTTGAGTTTCTAGCTCAACGACTACAAAATATTTTTATTATGGGAGGCAAATAAGACTCAGACAATAATATATTTGAATCACTTGAAAAACAGATATTTTGCTTCTAGTAAGTTTAAATAATACATTTCTGAACACTAAATATATCCCTGTTTCGTTTCTTCCATTATCTCTTGTTCCATGTTAGGCCCATATTTTTAAACCAGACTATGAAGATATATATATATATATATATATATATATATATAAGCCCTGCTCAGGCAACTGTTTAACTTCCATAGAATTTCTTCATACTTTTCTATTATTACATAGATTGTTTAATACTGTACAAAATTTTAAAACTGTTACAACGCCTTACTCTGGCACTCTCTTTTGCTGGCCATTTGATGTCTGTAAACTTTTGAGCACCATTTTAGGAGGTGCCTTTTATTTTATTTTTATTGAAGCACTATTGACTTACAGTGAGCTGTATTATTTTAATGAGCTACTAAATCTCTATGAATTAAGGAAACATATTGTTTAAGATTCTGTAGCAGAAATGAGAATAGAATACAAAATACAGGTCAGTTCCTGGCTTAATGCTTGATTCCACGGTCAGAGAGTTGTCGTTGAAGGAACCCCTCCCACCTTTTTTCCAGTGCAGGCATCTCACGTTTTATTTGTTTCCAAAGACTGCTAGCTAATGCCTGCAAATGTCTTAGCTGAGGTGGATTAAAGTGTGTGTCCTCTGAAAGGATTTCAGAAAATAGGCAGTGGCTGAGAACAGCTCTTGAAGGTGTGGGGAGAGGAAGGTTCCCTTAGCTGCAGGGTAGACTCCATAATGGGTGTCCTTCCCTGCTGATGACCAAGCTTTTGCTTCCTGGCTCAGCTGAACCACCACTGTGACTTCTTAAGGGGGCAATAAATGAACACCTGGCAGTTATCTCAGAATGGTCACCAACCCTGCACTTGGCTTGCCATTTATGGAAAAAAAAAAAGATCTGTATTGACAGCAGCCTCCCCTCTCTCTGGAGGATGCAGGGAGAACAATGCCTTTTTGCGCAGTGGAGCAAGAAAATATTTCAATATACAAACACGAAAAGCTTTCACGTTCTAGTGATTGATCTGATAAAATGACACATAATTTAGGAGGTGCTGTCTACTAGGGGACAACATTCAAATGAGTCCACATTTGAGCATCTCCATCTGCCACGACCACGTCCCTCACTTGGCAGACTGACAATCGAGGAAACTCTGATGGCCTGAAGTCCACTGAACTCTCAGTTGCTGGCTTTTGTTCTCTTAGTAGAGATTCAGGGATTCAGATGCTCCAGCATTCATAGTACTACCAATGCTGGAGAGTAACAAAGGCTTACTCTTCTCCCTAATTTTTAAATATATGACAGGAACCAGAAACTTTTAAGAGGCTTAGGTTTAAAACCATCATGACACGTGCACAGAGCAGGATATAAAGGGACTTGCATGTGCTCTCCTGACTCCTTCAGTCTAATTAACGTACATCTGATTCTCAGTCAGTGAGTACCATGTACTTAACCACTAAATACCTGGACCAACTCTGGAGCTCTTACAACTGAATTGCTTAACTTTAGACAAAGGATCTTTATAAAATCTATTAAAAATGGAAACAATGTTGTTTTCTTTTTTTAAGATGATGGTTAATATAAGGAAAATCTTAAGTGTTAGTGTTTACATGAAAAATACCCACCACCTAGGTTAAGCTAACTTAATGCTTTCTTAGTGAAGTGGACAAATAAATGTGTAAATGTTAAGATGAAGAACAAAATGTCTTTTTAAAAATCTTAACTATTTTAAGGCCAAAATGTTATTGAAGATGTTCATTTGTACCAAATCCAAAGAATAAAAGAATTATTTTTGAAAATAATCTTTAAAGCAATTTCCATTCATTGTTAGATTTAAATTAAAATGTGAATATTCTTTGTAGGCAGTCTCCAGATGCAGTAAATATGAGTAAGTTAAAACAAACTATCTTGTTCTTGACAAGCAATAATTCACTCAAATGTTACACCTGACACCCTGCATTTGGCTTGCTTTGTCAGTTTCTGTTTTTTAAAAAGAAAAGAAGGAGAGAAATGTAAAGTCATGCAAGCAAGTGACCACGAAAGTGCTGACGTCTGTGTTAAAAAAGCACGTGAGCATATTCTACTTTTTAGGCAAAGCACTATTTTAGGTTAACTGCAAATCTGCACTTGATCTATTATTTTTTTTGTATTGAATACATATATATAAATGAAAGAACATGGAAAAGATATTTGGTGAAGACTTAAAACTGCGAATGAAAAGTAAAATATGTTTTCTACTATCTACATTTTTCTACTTCCTGGGTCTTTTAAAAAAAATGATAGGGAACAGAGAGAGAGAGAAAAGAAAAGGTGATGACTTATGACGGTGACTTATGAAGTTTAAATCACTTCACTGTAAACAAAAGTGTACATACCAAAAGAATGAAGAACATAAAGAACACAAATGTAGTGAAATAAATTGGTCCCAAAACTCGGTTAGCTTCCTCAATCTCTGCGAAGTTGATATCACCCAAAATGATACGGAACTGAGTGAAGCTATAAAAACAAAACAAGACACAACACTACAATACAAAAACAAAGAATGGCCAGCATTCTTTTGACTTAACATTTCTTAAAAGATGATTTCATACTTTTGGACACTTTTTTAATCAATGTAGAAAGCTGACAAATAATAGAAAATTGTCAATCCCTCTGGAAAACTTATGCTACTCATATGAGCAATTAAAGTCTTCGAGAATAAAAATAATATGCTTTCATGCTAAATGTGTTATTTCCATTTGGTTAAAAAGAAAACATTATTATCATTAGATGACTAATAAAGCAATAGGCTATAAAAATTGAATACATCATCTGGGTAAAATATGATAACTCTAAACTGTCACAATGGTTATCCTGGGTCTGAATTTAAAATCTCTTTAAAAAAGTTTTTGGTGGGAGGAGGGTATAGCTCAGGGGTACAGCATGTGCTTAGCATGCACAAGATCCTTGGGTTCAATCCCTGGTACCGCCAGTAAAAAGAATAACTAAGTAAACCAAATTACCTGCCCACTTCAAAAAAAAATTTTTTTAAGGACAGCCAAAACTGTATGTGTGTGAAGATCCAATACTCTCAATGCACTTAGAGTGGGCTCAAGAGATTCTATATGTTGCCAAACTGGGTCTTAATCAGTAAAATTATTTCCATTCCTGACTTTAATCAAACAGCAACAGTAATTAGGGATCCTCGTGTACAAAGCCCCATTAATTTCTGTTACGATGATCAGATTCTTTCCTAACTCCTTTCTGAAAGGCATGGAAGCCTGATACTGACTACTTTACCTGTTTTTAACATCATATTTGAGGACTTTGGAAAAAGACTGAAAATTCCTGTATTGGTTTGAGCTTCTCCCAGACTATTAGAAACCTTTTTTTCTCCCCTTAGAAAATAAGCTGAAGTTTGACATATATGGTGATAATATTTAATAGGAATAAAAATGTAGACAAATGGTCTCTGAAATGCTCTGCATTTGGTGCTCAGAAGACCTCAGTCTTTGGAACAGAGTTGGTTTATGATAGCTGTTCTTCTATATCTTACTACTTTAGGGCTGTATCTTAACCATTAGCATTTCAGAATGCACGGTCATCTTTGCATTGGTGGGTCAATGTTTCTGGGAAAGAGAATGAATTCTTGTTTAAAAAAATTATCATTTAAAAAAACTACTTTTAAACAGTTGGTAGTTAAGAAGCAACTATGAAGATTTCTTTAGAAGGCAGTGATACCTGATAAATTTTTCTTCTTAATTTCATGTATACTTACATACACTCTTGGAAGGTACTGAAGTCATCAACCTGAGTGCCAAAGACAAGGTATGCCAACTGAGCATACGCTAAGAAAATAATGAAGAACATGATCGCAAAGCCAAAGAGATCTTTGGCGCACCGAGACATGGTTGTGGAGAGCTGACTCATGGTCCTGTTAAAGTTGATGAATTTGAAGAGCTGAAAGAGAGGGAAGGAATACACAGATGAATGGGCACATGAAGGGTGGTAAATACACACGGTGAAACATTCATTACTCAGGCCTATAAAGGAATGAAATTCTCACTCATGCTATAGCACGAATGAACCCTGAACACACTGCTAAGTTAAAGAAGCCAGACACAAAAAGACAAATATTGCACAATTCCACTTATATGAGGTACCCAGCGTGGGTTAATTCAGAGACAGAAGGGAGAACAGAGGTTACCAGGGGCTGTGGGGAGCGGTAAATGGGGAGTTAGTGTTCAATGGATTAAAAAGGTTGCAACTGGATGATGAAAAAGTTCTGGAAATGCACAGTCGGGGATGGTTGCACAACACTGTGAAGGGACTAAAAGCCACTGAATCATACACTTAAAAGTGGTTACAATGGCAAATTTTATTACGTATATTTCACAACAAAAAGAAAATGAAAGAGGAGAAAAATGACTTGGCAAGTGGAGACATGGTTGTGGAGAGCTGACTCATGGTCCTGTTAAAGCTGATGAATTTGAAGAGCTGTAAAAGAGAGGGAAGGGATACACAGAAAAGAAAAAAAGGAAAATATCTCTTTTTTTTTTTTCCAATTCCAGCAGCTTCTATTTTCTCATTCACAAAGTATTTGCTGAGGGACTACCATGCGCCAGGCACTGTTCTTGGAGCTGGGAATACAGCAGGGGACAGAGCAAAGCTTCTGCTCCTGTCACTTATACTTTACATGATGAGTTAAAATACAGTGAAAACAGATCTGGTTATAATTAAAATGACCAGAGATATTTTTCCCCAAGAAAGATTAAAATAAAAGAGAGAGGAAAAAAACCCCACAAATGAACACTAGTTTAAAATAACTCCAGGAAAATACTTATTACATATTATTAATTAATTACTGATTATTAAGTGTCATTTATTGTGCTTTGACCATGTACCAGGCTGATGTACACTGTGATGACTGAAATACTGGTATTCTATTGGAGGAGTCAGCCAGGGCTCGGAGCGGGGATTTGAACCCCGCTCTGTCTGACTGCAAAGCCAGAGTGTACTTCCATAGACGAGGCACGAAGGACGGCTGCCCACGCGTGCAGTTCCAGCCTGGAGAGCACGTAACCTGCACAGCTCTAGCAAGAAGCCTTGGTGGAAGCAAGTGGGGAGATGTGTTATAAGCTGAGTTCCCCTCCCTGCCTTAAGAGAACTTAATGGTTCCTGATGTTTAGGGGGCAAGATATTTATAAGGGAAGCACTAAATAAGACACCCAGCCTGGGGCACACATTGAAAGGAAATCTCCAGAATTTTACTTAAAGACCTCTCTAAACTGTTTCTGGCCACAACAAATTGTGTTTGACAGTTGTTGTAATTGCATTACTTAATACCATTCCTAGCAATGTTTCTGTAAGATCTTGATTATTACGACTGTTTTGTGATAAAGGTTTGGCACATTAGTGAGGGTTTCTCCTGAAGAAACATGTGACTGAATAAACAGCACGAGAGATACAGAATGAGGTCTATGCCCTCTGATAAATCCCAGGCTTTCCCACTGTGAATACTACATCAAAAAAATAAATAACTGTTGGAAAGGACCTTCTAGACTGGTGCTGTTCAACAGAACTTTCTGTGATGATGGAAATGCTCTGTATTTCCACTGTCTAATAGAGTAGCCACTGGCCACGTAAAGCACTGAGTACTTAAAATGTGGCCAGAGTGGCTGAGGAACTGAATGTTTCACTGCATGTAATTTTAATGAATTCAAATTAAAATCTAAATAGCCACTTGTGGCTCGTGGCTACTATCTGGATGGTACAGTCATAGAGCTTAACTTGGGACAGGCTGGTAGCTGCCTCAGAATTACTGAAATTTCCTGCATCGCCAGAATTGAGGCTCATTGTGTATGAAATGACCTAAGCTTTCACATACATGGAAATGCACATGACGTCTTGGGAAAAGAAGGAAATGAGTCATTAAGGTACTGCTCAGAAGAGCTGTTTGTCCCAATCTCAATTCCAGGTAAAGCTTCCCTATGGCTTCCACCTGGAAAAGAGGCAATCCTTCCAGACAAGGTTTCCAGTGCAGTGTCTCTCTCTTTCCCTTCTTTCTCTTGGTTCCAATTCCGTCACCTGGTCACCCCACGTCCAGTGAAACTCGAACCTGTCTCTGTGTCAGTGTAGCCAGGGGCCCCAGGCCCAGCTGACACCCTGAAAAGATCTCTTAATGCATCTGTTGAAGGAAACCTGCAAAGACAGGTCTAGCAAGAGTGCAGGCAGCGGGGAGTCTTCTTCTCAGTGAGATGAACGGTCACATGAGTCCTGCTGGTTTACTTTACTTATAAAACCTGGAGCAGCTCGTGCTGGCTCCTTAAATTTGGCCACAAAAATAAATTCAAGTCCTTCAGCCTTTTGTGTGCCTCAGGTTAATAAAAGAAGAAAAAGATATTAAAAAATCTGAACATGAGATTCATAAATTACCTTAATCCAGACAAAGAATACTATGACAGCTGCTATGTTGTTGAACTGTATTTGCCAGTACGCCAGATTCTCAAAGTTGGGGAAAGTATTTTGATCTTCTAGAAACTGCAGTAGCACCTCCACATTTGATACTCTATATATGTTAATTCCTATAGCTATCACGGATAGCTGGAAAACAAAAGGTTTACACATTATTACAGCATTTTAGAAATATATAACTTACCTTAAAACACCTAGTTTATTTTTCTTCACCAATGTATTCATTCTAGGGCTCACCATTCTACCCAACCAATGGCATTTATAACAGTCACTTACACGGAAGGAAAGCGTTGAGCACTGCTGTAAAATATATTGCTTGCACTTCCTGAGTTAGGAATAGATAGATATTCAGTGAGTGCACGTGTGTACACATGTGCGTGTGCACACATTCAAGAGACGTCACTATGTTACAAAATAAAACTCAAGCAGGAATGCCTTGTTTTTAATGCTACCCTCATTTAAATCACTTTCCACCCTTCTGCTTTTCTCAGCCTTCATCTTGCTTTCTGTTATTGTTTTTTTCCCACTTTCTAGCCATCTATTCTTTTCTTTATTCAATAAATATAAAACACTGTGGTAGACATCAAGAGGAAAAAACAGAAGTAAAAACTCCAAACCTTGTCCTTGGAAAACTTATGCTCTGGTTCAAGAGCAGATAAACACACAGAGACAAATAATACAAAAACCTTCTAAGGAGTTGGCAGCGCACAACACAGGTGCAGGGTGCAACAAGATGTATTAAAAGGAGTGCTCCTAAGAGGGAAGGATGAGGTTGGTCTGAAAGGCTGGTGGGAATGCTTGGCACAGAGGGCTCGAGAAGGCTTGCGGTGGGAACGTGTGAGCCCAGGCTTTGCCTCTTGCTTGTTTCTGCCCCTTAATTCATGACCGTATAACTTTCACGTCTGCTTCTGGGCTATAAAATCAGATCCGAGGGGAACACTGGGCGCTACTTGCATCCGTCACCACTGGATTAGCGGGTATGTGTGGAACGTGCTAGGGCTTAACTGTAGCCACGTTGCCCTCATGTGGGGTCTGAATCCACAGCAGGTGGGCTGTGGTAGGTGCTGTGACCTTTGCTGTCCATCCTCTCTCTCTTCTCAGGGAAGAAGGTCAGAGGCCACTTCATTAGCCCTTCTTGAGATGGCTGTCCTGGTGACTGTCAGAGCAGAGACCTGCCTGGCTGCCAACCACAGCTGAAAAAGCCAACCTCACCACCTCCCTTTTCTTCTTTGTGTAGGATTCCCAGACCTAACCTTGTATTTTTGTGCTGGGGGTGGGAATATTCCCTTTGAGCTCTCTGGAATATACTGAAAATGTTTATCTAATGGACTTCACTGAGAGAAAAGGGCTGATGGACTGAATCCAACAATAACCCTTCACCCAATTCTCATTAGGTACCCTTGTTTTTGCTTAGCGCAGGGCAAATGTTTATAAAAATATGGAATATATGGTCAATTTATACAATATCAATACCATATTAATATACTAAATTTTCCTTGAGGATTTTCCTTCAAAATAGAGAATGAGAGAGAAGAGAGGAAAAAAGAGATTTTTTTGAGCATTTGGGTTGTTACTTCTCTGAGTTTCCTTTGGGTTTTGCATCCCTATCTACAAAAAGAACTTTCTTTCCTTGACATAAGCTTCATGAAGGCAGGGATTTGGTTGTTTTGTTCATCCCTATATCCCCAGTGCCTAGAACAATGCCAGACACATAGTAGGTGCTCAAAAAAGATTTGTTAGGTAAATGAATTACTCATTTTCACCCTGTGAAATCTACCAACCAACAAAATTATTTGAATTTAGATTTCCTCACAGCTAGTTTTGAAAGACTATTGCTTAGGACAAATGGTTGATTTGAAGTAAGCCCATAATTGCAAAGTGATTCTGAGATGTTATATTTATATTTAGGGTATACTTTCTTTTCAAGTTTCAGGTGTACTTCAGCCTCAGTTCTTTTCATAGGGCTGAAGGTCTAGCGGAGCGTTGGGGTTATTTGGGGGGATGTGCAGGAAGCACGTCCTATTTCTACAGGGTCAGAGAAGGCTTCAGAGGAGAAGTGGGACTCCTGTAGCTGTTCCTTGTTCTGATGACAGCAGACTGTCTGAATTGTTGTCTTGGCAGCACTAAGAGTTAAAAAAAAATAAGAAAAGTAGCAGAGTGAAGCAAGTTTTCAAAGAAATACTTGCAAAATTCTGTGGCTGCTGGGCTAAGAAACTTCCTCAATTTCCACACCATCAGCTATTTTTCCAGCGATCTTCAAAGTGGGTACAAGGCAATTCACTGGGGTGTGGGAAGAAAATACTAAAACTTCTAGCCAGGTGATAAGAAACTGTTAGAATTCTATTTGTATTTATTTTTATCCCAATATTTCAAATTCTATGTTGGATATGTTTTCATAAATGTACCTATTACACCACTACACACACACACACACACACACTTTATAAATAAAAATACATTAGGGTTTGTCATCAAAGTTTTCACTGATGTATGTACGTAATCAAAGAAGTTGAATGCCACTGACTAGTCTTTTGTTGACACTGAAGGTATTTGCTTAAGAAAGGGGAAAACTTACTAATTAGCATAATATCACCCTCACCTTTTTACCACTATTCTCAGTAACCAACATATAAATAAATCCATGTAAACTAAAAAAGCAGGGTTTGTTTCCTTAGGGCTCCAAACAATAATTGTTTCCTAGGATAATTTTCAATGTATATGGACTGCATTCTGCCATCAAGAGTACAGAAATATTATGAAAAATGATTTCTAGTGTCTCCTTAAATGCTGAAATTCTTCTTAACGCTGTCTACTGTTAGCACATTGAGAATTTGGGGATCAAGAGTTTAGCTACAGGAACTGTGTGATGTTACACGGCCACCGTGAAAGGAGGATGCACTTCTAACTGCACCAGGGCCAGAAGGGGTCCCCACTGTACTCTATAGGAATGCTCGTTTGTATAAAAGTTATTTCTAAAGTACACATGGATGTGGCTAGAGGGGCAGTGTAGTTAAGAGGGCTATTGTGAGGATTCAGTGAACTTCTGCATAAGAAAAGTACTTGGAACTGTGCTTAGCAGGATAGTTTCTAAATTGTTAGCTATTATTATTATTATTATTATTATTATTATTATTATTATTACTGCTCCTATTAATATTGTTACTGCCATGCAGTATACATGTATATAGTGTTTATGTTCTTATTCTTTTACTTACATATGAGTAACATATTTTCTATGTTTAATAACATATAAAACAAATTAAATAACATGTTTTCTACATTTTACCAACCAATTCTAGTGATGATTTGATAATGATTTGATGTCAGTGCTTCACAAAGCCAAATGAATTTTTGGTTAGGGGAAAAGAATATTGGTCAAGAAGGAGGATAATAGAAGACAGAGTGCCCAAAGAGTAATGCCCCACTTACTAAGATTTCAGAGGGGCAGCTCTGTCATTGGACAGTGGAAAGGATGGTGGACTTTTAAGCTGTAACAATTAAGCATGCCATTATAAGCTTATATGCTTAATTTTTTAAATGATTAACTCATGCTAATTAATGGTCTCTTAGGATACAAAGCTATTACAATTTATCCAACTTCATAATTTTTTTTTGGTGGGGGAAGGTAATTAAGTTTATTTATTTTTAGAGGAGGTACTGGGGATTGAACCCAGGACCTCATGCACGCTAAGCACACGCTCTACCACTTGAGCTACACCCTCCCCACCTAATATGCTTATATGCTTAAATGCAAAAGATACTGTGTTATTGCCAAAGGTAGAAAAGCTTGCAAAAACACATTTTTACACTGAGACCTCTGGGAGGAAATGATTAAGACGATGCTGAAGAGAAACCGTCTTGAACAGGTGTTGGAAGTTATCATAGAGTCACGGGCAGGCAGCGAGGTGGCACAGTCTTAACTTGATCATAACTCTGCTTTACGAGTTTCTTGTACCTCATATAGAAACCTCCCTGCAGTTTAAAATTTCCTGCAAATAGTGCTATTTTAAACTGCAGGGAGCTGCCACCTCCAATATTTTTTGGATCTTTTTTTTTTTTTGGCCATACCTTTACATATGTGCAGAAAAACATAAACTGATTTTTGTTAGCAGTTGAAGAAAAGTATCATTAGCAAAGAACAGAATAAACAGAACATTATTGTCTCCCCCACTTCTCAAATGGCATGCCCAAGCCAAACGCGATCTCCTAAGTTATTCTTGTTATTAGTGTGGCTAAGTGAGAGCTTACTGTGAATGCCACCCCCCACTTCCATATTCAGAAGAGTTATTCACGCAAAATGAGAAAATAATTAGTAACACTGAAGTTGATATCATAAAGGAGAACCTTCAGATTCCCCTTCAGGACTATCAAGACCCACAACACCGAGGAGAGCAAAGACTAACTAACATGTTTTAATAACAGAGTAGGGAATTTGGTGTTGTTCTCGAACCTACCACAATGATCACCACATCCAGACAATTCCAGAAACTCCTGAAATAGTGTAGCCTGTGAATGCGAATTTCCAGTATCTCTTCCACCACATAGTAAAGGATAAAGAAGCAAAAGATGATCTCACAGGCTGCCAGGAAGAAATCGAAAGTTGTGACATATCGGATCAGCTTTACGGGCTGAAACTGCCAAGATGGAATCACACCGCCTGTTGCCGGGAATTCGACCAGTAACCTGTGTTGCAATAAGAACAATGAAAACAGTAACAACAACAACAACACATGGATGCAGCCAGGCAAGGACAGCGACTGTTCCATCCCTGTCCTAGAAGGAAGTACAACTGGGACCACAAACCACCCCAAACGAGTGGCAAATGTCGTTTTATCAGTCAGTGACTCCATATGCGTAGAATTTTGTGCCACAAAAGGAAGGATACTTCCCAAGGCCTCTCAGACCAGAGATTATTTCTCCTCAGTATCCAGTTTAACTTTCTGGTACGTATACAGTTCAAAATGTTGTGTACTTTTTTTTTAAAATAGAAGTTAAGCAACAAATAAGCCTTTCTAGGACTTCTATTAAATGCAAGTCATTTAGCTGGGCAATGAAGAACATAAGACAGATATGTCATCATTCAAAACATGCACGGTCTGGTTGAGAAGTAGCATGTCTATTTCATACACATATAAAGATAGGGACTGAGTTTTTCACTCATGTATTTGATAACCCTTAACCAGCTTCAAATAATTTGCCGAGGGGATACTTATTGCTACCCTTCCCAGAACCTTACAGTGGACTGGTGCTCAGTAAATGTCTGATTGTCTGAAACAATAAAATGTACGTTTTAACATTCATCCTTTTGGCACTGATCTTTAGTACTTTACCATAATAGAAGTGAAGCTGCTTCTTGCCAAATTCCCACTTGGAGCTGTCATGCTGAGAAAGTTAAATGATTCACTTAAGGTACAACTTCCCTATCACACTAGAAATTCAATCTCTAGATCCTTAATTTCAAGACTTTTAAAAGACCTGCAGTCAGCGATTAGGCTTAACTGCCTCTCCCATCACAGGATGTGTAGCGGCTCCTAGAACCTGAGTGTCTCGGGCTCAAGCATGAGCCATAGTCAAGTACAGGCAGGGACTACGGCAAATGAGTACTGGCCAAAGAGGCGTGACACGTTTTCCTTCCTCTGCACTATCAGTGTTCTGTTTTCTTCCTATTGGATGTGTTGGAGAGTAGGGGCGAGAGCCACAAACTCAGAAGAGCAATACTGAGCCTCATGACAGCCTCCATGTGAACTCACGAGGCAGGAAGTGGCTTCTGTGCTGAGTCATTTCTCTCCACCCATCCTGGTTCTGCATTGTCATCCCCTCCAGACTGAGACAACAACATAGAGAAATGAAGTAACTGCCTTGACGGAATTCACTCTTCAAGTATGGGGAGGAAGTGAAAGACACACTCATCTATACTTTCTATAAACAGGTATTTCCTTAAAATTCAGTCAGAGTTGCCAGCCTGCTTTTAATCTCCTCCTGTTCTCGCTGGAATCACTAGGAAAAGTTCACTAATAATCGTAATAGATTTTCATTCATTTCTAGTAATAACTACTACTTGATTTAATGTGATACTATTTTCTGCAAAAGTTGTTAGAAATAGGACCTGGGACAATCCAGTTGGATATGTAATGCAGAGTTGAGCTTAGCCTCAAAAATAATCACAAAATAAGGATATTACAAGAATGTATCCTTCTTATTTGGTGAGTAAATATATGTGCAATAATTCATGTTGGCAACGTTTGGGTGCTGTCACCATGTTCACCAGGAGGAAGAAAGCAGGTGAACTCTGGATCGACCTTGCCTTGTTCTACTTTATTAATAGCGTATATCACCTTCTATCATGCTATTTAACTAATTTGTTTCTTTTGTTTATTGTTTATCATCTATGATCTCCTCCTGGTTGAACACAAGCTCTGCAAGGGCGGGGACCTTTATTCTGTTCACTGATGTGTCCCAGGAGCCTTGAACAGTGCCTGGAATGTATTAAGTGTCCAATAAATGTTTCCTGAATGAATGAACAAAAGGCCCCAGACAAGGTGGTGGGATCTTTGTCAGTTTCCTCACTATCATGAGTGGTCATAATGGCAATATCACAGAATCTGTAGAAGGAACTTTAGGCACCTTTGGTAAATCCTGAACGTGAGCAGGTACTGGGTATCTTACTTACCCAGGCATAGCCCCTGACTACTGTGCCTGTGTCCTAATAGCGTGGGCATCATCTGAGAGTAGGAAACTTAGGGAAATGAGTCAAGATTTGACGGCCGAGGGGCTTGGGAATGGAGCATGCAGCACTGGTCAGCCTCATAATGGAAAAAGATAGAGGTTAGCAAAACACAGTGGGAAGGTTCCAGCTTTGGGATAAACCAGACTTAAGATTCTTCCCAACTCTTAACATTCAAGGATCCCAACTTCCTTCCCACAAGATATCCCTCTGCCAATAAGCTTTTGGTTTTCACCCCTTGTTGCTATTGGCTCTGATCCTTGACATTCTCTTTTAGCCAACTGCAGGCAATGGTTTTCTGGCCTTTCTCCAGTCTAGGATGTACATACAAACACACAGGAGTGGGGGGATGAGTGCCCCTTGTACACACCTGATCACACAGAACAGGTTAATGTTGGCGTTGTACACTGAAAAGTCAATAAAAGTTGCCCTGGTTCCTCGGTTCAGCCAGCCATTTTTCTTGAGGTTAGCAACCTGAGCAGCTGTTTCTTCTCTTGTCCTTGACAAATCCAGGTAGTAGCCAGCTCCACTATACGTTGCAATCATTCCCCAGTGGCTGCTCCCATTCAAGTCTTTTTCACTTGTGTAGATCCAACTAATCAAAAAACAAAACAAAAACAAAACAAACAGGTAAATCAGTGGAACATTTGGGGCACTTACAAAGATAGTTGGTTCCTGGTAAGATACAGTGTGTAATAAATAAATATAAGTCTCATCGAGCAGGGTAATGTGCTTGCCGTGACGCTTTGTAAGTGCTTTCTTCCATAATTTTCATACTTATTATCCCCATTTTAGGAATAAGGGCCCCAAGGCTTAGGTCAACTCAATCTCAAATCTTTTGAAGGGAGAGTCAGGAACCCACACCAGAACTGTCTGTCTCCAGAGGCCTGAGTTCTTAGCCCTCAGTTGATGTTTGCCTTCCTGGGGTGACTTAGGAATTATGATGATTCTAGGCACCCAAAAAATTGCAGCCAAAAAAGGTACAAGTTCATCAAGTCACTGTCGGCAACTGAACTAAGTAGGACTCCATACAGCATCTGGGAACATAATCCACCAATATCTACAGAGGCTTTCAGGAACCAGATGCTTCTCGGGCATTAATAAGGATATAAAGATGAACCAAGATTTTTTCTCTCCCAAAATGATAAGCAGGGAGAGAAAAGTTGTAATTAAATGATGAAAATAAACCTTAAGGTAGATGATACAAGAACCAACAGAGATGCACAGAGAAATTACTCGGGCCCATCAGAGGAAAGCTGACCTTCCTTGGAGGTCCAGCCACAGGACAGGTGATACAGGGAAGGCCTGGGAAGAAGCCATGCTAGACCCGGGCTGTGAAAGGCAAGCAGGATTCAGACTTACACAGGTGGCTGGGGAGGGTGTTTGCAAGCCTGAGCCAGGCAGGGCCAGAGAAGGACAGGGCAGCCAGCAGTGATTTGGGTTGGCTCCCAAATGATGAGAAAAAGAAGGCTGAAAGGCAGACTGTGGTCAGATGGTGAGGGGCAGGGGAGGTCTCTGGCAGGCACAGAACTGGGTTACTCTGGTGGCTGGGGTGGTGAGAAACAGCGGGCTCTGGGGCGGGCAAGAGTTAACACAGCGGGTGTGAGACCCCTCTTCCTTCACAAGCCTGCTCGCAAGGTTGGACCTTGGCTGACGTCTGGAACTTGAGTGATGAATGACTCCCTACACTGATATCAAACTTTCTGTACGTAGAAAGAGTGGCTCACTGTGCAGATGCTGTCGGTACAAACCAAGTGGCCTATGCCAAATGCCTGCTTCCCCCCAGGAGTTTGAGATCTGGGGACGTGCTAGGCAGAAGCTGCCTGTGTGACCAGCACTAGTAGGCACTCTGGTCTCTGATGAGCTTCTCAGACGTTTTCTACATGTTGTCACAACTTGTTATGGGGGGGATGAAGCCCGTCCTGTGTGGCTCGCTGGGAGAAGACTTCAGGAAGCTGGCACTTGGTTTTCTGCAGGCTTTGCCCCATGTGCCTGTCCCTTTGTAGCTTCTTGCACATATCCTTTCTCTGCAATAAAACTTAGCCATGAATATATGCTGAATCCTTCTAGCAAATATATATATGTGAGCCCTTCTAGCAAATTACTGAACCTAGGGGTGGTCCTGGGGCCGCTGATACAGCTGGTTAGCTGTCCCTGCAAAAACTGAGGGTTTGGGGCATATTGAATTATGGGAGCTGCTGGGACAGATGGTCAGCAGACAGACCTGTCTTCTATCACT